CGAGTCTCTAATAGGAATATTTACCCCATTGATGACCACAGGGGGACACGTGCCTCTGCGCAATGTGAAGGTTATATGAGCTGATTTATTTTCGTTGATATWKAYTCGYYAYYTCTGACACCATTTTTCTAGTGAGTGCAGATGACGTTGGAGAATATCAGTCGCGTTTTGTGGATCGCTCTCAGATGCTAGCAGAGCTGTATATATCGAGGAGATAAATTTTTACCGATAAAAAAATCAAGCAAGTCAGGGATTTTATTTACATCAGTTGGCCAGTAGGTAGGCTTACCTGAACTAATGCAAGATAGTCTATTAGTTTCGATACTTTTTGAGAGTGCTCTACCTCTTGGTGTTATAATTCTACTACCCCAGATGTTATGTTTGGCATTAAAGTCACCTCCGGCACGATAGCCCTAACATACAAATCGTCCAGTTCGCAGAGATGCACTTTTCAACTGAATTTTTTTATTTGTTTGTATCAAATCTCTATTTACCGTTGTAATGAAATTAAATTTAAACTCGTGATTTTACATTTACGTAAAATACATAAAAATATAGAAATAGGAAAAGTAAATATATTAACCCTTAGCGCTCTGCACGTTTTGGTACCACTGCCTACCAACAACCAACAACTCTGGCACATTTTCGCATCGGAATGAGTGTGAAGGAGTCTTATTTTAAGTGAGAAGAATTACACGTGCTTGTGAATATTTTTGATTTTACTTATTTTGTACATATGCACCTTTTTCTTGTAAATGAAAAGTAAATATTAAATTTAATTCACCATTCTGTGATATCTTTTGAATTTTGAATCTTCTATGTGCATTCTGGATTTTGAATCTTCACTGTGCATTCTGGATTTTGAATCTTCACTGTGCATTCTGGATTTTGAATCTTCACTGTGCATTCTGGATTTTGAATCTTACCGGTGCATTCTGGATTTACTTGGGCAAGTGTCACAGTATTCACTTTTTTGACGTTTGCCATCTCTTTGTTTCCTTGTAGAGCACACAAACAAACCATAGTCCCTCTTTGGACCTGTCCTCACTATGTGCAGTTTTCCGTTTAGTCTTATATCAGAAATTGATGTAGAAACTCTTGTTCTCTCCTGACAAAAATTTCCTACGAACTGATCGACTAAAATTTTCCTGTACTTTCAATGCGTCAGTACTTTCTCATTCTTATTGTCCTGTACAGTTTTATACAAAATGTATGAATTAATTTCATTTCCCCAAAAGAAGAGTTTCCGCCACCATTTAAGGGAAGGCCTCAAAAAGCAGTAACTATGGAGGCGTATTGATCAGCCCGATCAACACCACCCATCGATTTTGTTTATCCGATTGCTACACTTGGCTTTTCAATTTCTTCGTTGGTACCACCTCGAATAAATCTATTAGTTGCTACCATTCCAGCATTATGCCAGTTACTTAATAACGTCACTATTCTTTTATCCCTCCAAGCTAAGATCATCGTATTTTCACGTTTCTATGGAATAGTTTTCTTTTCTCTTAATTTTGGTTTTTTTAAACATGTTGGAAGACCTTTTCTGTTGGATTGTACTGTGCCGGTCAAGTGGCATTTCATTTTTCTCAATTCTTGAGCCAAGGGTATACTGGTGTAATACCTGTCGGTATGCATATGATAACCTTTTGCGGTAGGTACCTGATCTCTAATAATTGTTGGTAGAGATGCAGAGTGATTCTGGTGCTAACCAGTAAATCTTGCCTTGGCAGATTTTCAGAGGTTTTTCAGAGGTGATACTTCCATAGTATGGAAGAATACTATATACACATATCCAGTTTCGGAGTCTGCTAAAACGTATATTCGAATGCCCCACTTGGTGGGCTTATTGGGATTGTGGGTGATAAAACTGATCTTTCCTTTAAATTTAACAACTGATTCGTCTACGCATATATTTTGTCCAGGTACAAAATAGTCTGAAAATTTTATGTTTACATATTCCAAAAAATTAGATGCTCGTTGAATACGTGTTCTGATGTCATTTTTTGTAGGGGCCGGTGTTTTTAAAGGAAGCATCCAGAATATCTGCATGAATCTCTCTTCCTTATAAATATTTTACTAAAGAAAGGGATGCGACTATTCTCCTTAGTTGACCAGTATTCTTGGATATTCGCTAGGGGTATCATACCAATATTGATGATAACTCCAATAAATGCCCAAAATTCATCTTCCACCGCGCGCAACGTTTGCCAAATAGAATTATGAGATATTTCTTTATTCTTCAAAACATTTTCTGCGTACTTGTTCGTTTCTTTTATAATTTCCTTTGCCAGTTCATTTGTGAAGAATAATTTAAAGTATTGTATCGGCTGTACAACACTTGCAGTAATTTGTGGTCCAATGACCTTTGGCGATACATTAAAATATATTCTATCCGGAATACCTAATTCTTCCGTAACATCGCGCCATTCAACTAATTCTTCCTGCGATTCTTCGCTTTCACTTTCAATAACTACCATTCGTCGTCTCTTTGGTAGTATAATTTCGGAATCACTACTTGGAGTTTCAGAATTATAATCAATATTGTCTTCCACAATATCTTCTAACATTGGAAAATCCAACACATCTTCAGTATCACTCAAATCTATATTCTCATCACAATAATTATTTTTCTCCATACTGCTAACAGCAAAATGGGTAAAAAAATTATTCAATCGTAACAGTAAAAAGACTGAGCACGTTTTAACAACAGATAACAATTGCCATCGCTAACAATTAATTGCGTAACATCTTAAGTGTATTTATTATAAAAACATTGGGTGGGCTCCGCAGCGGAGCCTGCGGAGTTACGGAACAAATGACCGACGGCTCCGCAGCGGAGCCAACGGAGCGCCAAGGGTTAATATAGGGTGCGTTCCACTAAGCAATTACAAAATTAATTAACTCCGTCACATACTATATATAATAATTAAGATAATTATACGCCTGATAATTGTTTATGAATACCTTCACTGTCTT